GAAAGAAAGAAAGAAAGAAAGAAAGAAAGAAAGAAAGAAAGAAAGAAAGAAAGAAAGAAAGAAAGAAAGAAAGAAAGAAAGAAAGAAAGAAAAAGGAGGCAGAGGAAAAATTAAGAGCCCTCCTTCTTGGAAAGAAGGGAGCCGGGCAGAGGCATCCGCAGTGGTCCCTGCACGGCCCTTCGCAGGCTGCTTTTCCTGCCGGTGCCTGGGGACGCCCCCCTTCCTCCTCCTCCCGATCTTCCTCCTCCTCCCGATCTTGCTGATCCTGATCCTGATCCTCCCCCTCTCCTCCTCCTCCTTCGCCTCTCCTCCTTCTCCTCCTCCTCCTCCTCCCCTCCGCCCCGCTGATTGGTCCAGCCCGGCTATATTTTGCCCCTTCCAGCTCAACATCATCCCAAAAGTTTTTTTGGGGGGGAAAGGGGGAAAAAAAAAAAAAAGACAACAAACCAAAACAACAACAAAATATATATAAATCCCCGTAAGAGCTCCCCGCGCCGCCACAGGACCCGCGGCGCGCGCAGCTGCCCCCGGAGCGAGGCGGCGGCTCCCAGCTCGGCGGCTGCTCGGAGGCGCTCGGCGGCGGTACCCGGTTCTCCCCCGTGCGAGTCGGACCCAAAGCGCTGTCCAGCTGGAATGAATATATCTGAGTCAAACTACTGCCGAGAGGAGATACCGCAACCGCGGGGCGACTGTTCCTGGGCGAGCGCCGCCGAGGCCGGGCTCGCCTTCGCGCGGCCGCCGCGCGCCGCCTCCCCGGCCAGCCGCACGCCCAGCCCCGAGCCCGGCTTCGCCTTCGGTGCCGGCGGCGGCGGAGCGGCCCCCGGCGCGGCCCCCAGCCGCTCGCCCAGCCCCGAGGCGGGCTATGGATACAGCCCCCCGGGCGGGCGCGCCGAGGGCAAGGCGGGCGAGGACTCGCGCATCCGCCGGCCCATGAACGCCTTCATGGTGTGGGCCAAGGACGAGCGCAAGCGGCTGGCGCAGCAGAACCCCGACCTGCACAACGCCGTGCTCAGCAAGATGCTGGGTGAGCGGGGGAAGCGGGGTGCGGGGGGCGAGGGAGCGCGGAGGAAGGGATGGGGTGCGAGGGAGCGGGGATGGGATGCAAGGAAGAGGGGCTGCAGGGATCGGGTGCGAGGGAGAGGGGAGGCAGGAATGGGGTGCAAGGAAGAGGGGATGCAGGGTTGGGATGTGAAGGAGAGGGGCTGCAGCAGCCAGGATGTGAGGGAGAGGGGTGGTGGGGATGGGCTGCAAGGGAGCAGGGATGCAGGGTTGGGATAAGAAGGAGAGAGGTGGCAGGAATGGGGTGCAAGGGAGAGGGGTGGCGGAGTGGGGATTCAAGGGAGTAGCGCTGCAGGAGCCAGGGTGCAAGGGAGAGGGGTGACAGGGATAGGGCACAAGGAAGGGGGGATGCAGGATGGGGTGCAAGACAGAGGTGCTGAAGGGATAGGGTGCAAGGGAGCGGGACTGTGGAAGCTGGAATGTAGGAATACAGGGCTGTGGGAGCCAGGATGCGAAGGAGCAGGGCTGCAGGAACGGAGATACTGGAATATGGGGCTGCAGGAGCAGAGATGCTGGAGTACGGACCGGCAGGAGCCGGGATGCTGGAGTACAGGGCTGTGGGAGCCAGGATGCAAGGGCACAGGGCTGCAGGAGCTGGGATGTCAGAGTTTGGAGCTGCGGGAGCAGAGATGCAAACGTCGAGGCTGCGGGAGCCGGGATGCAGGGTACAGAGCGGCAGGAGCTGGGACACAAGGGTTATGGGCTGCAGGAGCTGTGTTCCAGGGCACAGGGCTGTGGGATGCAGGCACCGAGGACACAGAACTGTGGGATGCAGATAGTGAGGATACAGAACCATGGGAAGCTGCCGAGGAGTGGAGCTGCAGGATGCGGGAATGAGGGGCTGTGGGCAGCTGGGATGTGGGGCTGTRAGGATTTGGGGTTGTAAGATCTGGGGCTGTGCTGTTGGGCTGCAAGGCTGCAGGCTGCAGGGATACAGGGTCACGGGAGGCAGGGATATGGGCTGTGGGGAGCTGGAGTGCAGATACAGGCTGCAGGGGTGCGGGATACAGGGATACAAGGCTGCGGAATCTGGGACTGTGGGATACAGAACAGTACGGAGCTGGCAATACAGGGCGGTAGGATGCAGGACGTGGGAATACGGGAAGCGGGCTATGGGCAGCCAGGGCAGCAGGATGCGGGAACACGGGAAGCAGGATATGGACAGGCAGGGCTGCAGGACGGGGGGTGCGGGGAGGGATGCCCGGCTGCGGGGGGCTGAGATAAGGGAGCGGGGATGGGGGGGGCAGCAGGATGCAGCGTTTGGCACTGGGGATGCAGCCTGCGGGATGCGGGAAGGAGCGGGACCCAGGCGCCCGTGCTCGGGCGTCCCCGCCGCGGAGCCGAGCGGTGTCACAGAGCTCCCTTTGCCCTCGCAGGCCAGTCGTGGAAAGCGCTGAGCGCCAGCGACAAGCGGCCCTTTGTGGAAGAGGCCGAGAGGCTGCGCATCCAGCACCTCCAGGATCACCCCAACTACAAGTACCGCCCGAGGAGAAAGAAGCAAGCCAAGAAAATCAAGAGGATGGAACCCAACATCCTCCTCCATAACCTTTCCCAGCCTTGCAGCGACAACTTCAGCATGAGTCACCACGGCGGCAGCCAGCCGGGCCACCCCCAGCCTCCCCCACTTAACCACTTCAGAGAACTCCACTCCATGGGGTCGGATATTGAAAACTATGGCTTGCCAACTCCCGAGATGTCGCCCTTGGATGTCTTGGAACAGACGGAGCCGGCGTTTTTCCCTCCGCACATGCAGGATGACTGCAACATGATGCCCTTTCGCGGCTACCACCACCACCACCAGCTGGAGTTCCCGCAGGAGAAGTGCCTGGGCCGGGACGTGCCGGTGCCCTACGCGCAGACCCCCTCGCACTTGGCCGATGCCATGAGGACTCCGCACCCGTCCAGCATTTACTACAACCAGATGTGCCCGGGGGCGCAGGGCGGCCTCTCGGCCCACCTGGGCCAGCTCTCGCCGCCCCCCGAGGGCCACCACCTGGAGAGCGTGGACCACTTGAACCAAAGCGAGCTCTGGACAGACGTCGACCGCAACGAGTTCGACCAGTATTTGAACATGAGCAGGACTCGGCCGGAGAGCTCGGCGCTCCCTTACCATGTGTCCCTGTCCAAAGTGACTCCCAGGAGCATCTCCTGCGAGGAGAGCAGCTTGATATCCGCCCTGTCCGATGCCAGCAGCGCTGTCTACTACAGCCCCTGCATCACCGGCTAGCTCGGCCCGCGCTGCCGAGCAGCCGGAGCGCCCGCCCGTAACCACAAGCTCCATAATATTTAGAGTATCTCATTAAATGCATCGCTTCTTCTTCTTTATTTTTTATTTTCCTTAAGAAAACCCCTCCATGCTGAAGTCACTGATATACCGTATATCTATATATCACACCCGGCCCGCGCCCCGTGCGCCGCGCACGGCTCCCCGCTGGAGCTGCAGCTCCAGGCGAGGCTGCTCAACCACCTCGGGAACACAAAAGGGATTTTTTTTATTTTCCTTTCAACCAAATTACAGCAATTGCTGCCCAAAAAGCAGCTTTGAAGAGGACAAATAGCAGCGCCGGCGCGGGGGACACTTGCAAAGCGCTTCGCAGGGACGGGGAGCAATTCGGTGYCTGGTAGTGGGGGTCTTTAGGACAGTTTTTACTGTATTATCAGCAATATATTTTAATTTGGGCAACAAAACTATATTTTTACTAAGCATTTTTTTATATATAAAATGATATTTAATGTCTTTTTTTTTATTAGACTTTTTAAAAATAAATCAAGGGGTATCCATGAGATCTAAAGCATTTATGTAGCAAAGCTGGATTAAAAAAAAAAATACAAAAAAAAAAAAACCCAAAAAAGCAAAATAAAAAAGGACAAAATAAGAAAAAAAAAGATATTTTGTGAAAAGGGAATTGCAATGTAAATATTGTGGAACAATTGACTGGAATTTTGTACAAAAGAAAAATACGACTGCAAACACTTCTATCGTCTCGAACTGTATGGAGAGCAAACTGTTTTATACTGGTTAATTATTAAAACATCTTCATATAATTGTTGCCATCTTGTGTGCTTGTTGTGCGAACACATATTTTCCGCAAATACATGTTGTCCCCAACCGTTTCCAGATTGCCGTATCCGTTGATTAATGCTCTGACAACCTGGCAAGCGGGTTCGCTCGGAGGCGGCCGGCACGAGCCCTCCGCGGCCGGCGGCTCCGGCGCTGCCGGCGGTGAAACCCCCCCAATAAACCCGGCRCTGTCTCCTCTCCTCGTGCTCGGTGTGTGGCCGTGCCTGGAGATGGGGGCTGTTCCTGCAAGCACCCAGTTTTCCCGGGAGAATCACCAGAAATAGGCTCCGGGAGGGATGGGGGATGCCCGAGCTGCCGGTGGGACCAAATCCCTGTGTTCCCCATGCAGGGCTACCCGGTCACCACCCCATTCGCTCCCGTGTGCATCCATCCTTCTCTCCCATGTGCATCCATCCCGCTGCCTTCATCCCATGTCCTTGCAGGCACCCAAGGCYGCAGAACCATGCACCTACATTGAACCCGGGATTTGCAAACCCGTGGGTTTCAGCTCAGTCTAGGGTTGCAAACCAGCAGGATTCAGCTCATGCAGCCTTTGCAAACCAGCAAGCTCCAGCTGAATGCAGGGCCACACAGCAGCATCTTTAAACTAAAGCTTTAATTTACAAAGCAATTTGCAAACCTTAAGCTAAAGGTTTAATTTGAAACCGAGCGCGGGGTTTGCAAACCAGCCTGCTTAACCTCGGCGCGGGGTTTGCACGGCAGCGCGTTTAGGCTGGACGCGGTATTTGCAGGGTGGCACCCCTAAGCTGAGCCCAGCGCTCGCAAACCAGGGCGCTTAAAAAGGGGGAATGACAATATCTGTTGCATAAAGACCTAGCGGCATCCGTTCCTTGAATGATGAGTGATTTAAACCAGGCTGATATAGCCAAAAAAGGCTCTTAAAAAAAAAAAAAATGAATAGAAGAAGAGCTTTTTTGTTGTTGTTGTTGGCAAAGAATTGCCTTTTAGGGGAAATGGATATTTAACAAATGACATTAATTTTCGAGCTTCTCCTAAATTAAATTCACATTAGTGTTAACAGGACTCAATCCTGCCTCACTTTTTTTTTCCCCCCCTCCTCTCCGCGGAGCGCTAATAAAACYGGAGCCGTTTGGGGGCCGGCGCTGCGCGCTCCCGCCGCCGGCAGYGCCGCGCTTCCATATACAGCCTGCGAAAAGGGGGAATACATGGAAAAATGACCTCACTACCTACACGGGAGAGCTGGCGCGGGGCCGAGCGCGGTGCGGCCGGCGCTGCCAGCAGCGGGGCTGGCGGCGAGCGCGGCGGCGGCGCGAGGAGCYGCGTCCCGAAGCAGCCTCCGGTCGGGAGCGAGCGGAGCACAAAGGCCCGGCCGGGGTTCCAATCCCTGCTCCTCGCTCGCGGCTCCGGTGGGCACGCGCTTCCCGGGATTACGCATCCCGCTCCCGGGGCCCCGCCGGGAAAAGCGGATGCGGCCGTGCAGGAAGCGTGAAGTCATCCTGCGGCKGCAGAAAGGCCCCTCGGCCCCGGCTTTGGTCCCTGCTTTCTGAGCATGGGGAGGTTTTGACTGATTTAAGCTGCTTTTGCTCTTTTTTGGAGCATTTTGGGGCTCTGTCGTTGTGGCTGACGCATCCCGGCACGGCTGCTCTCCTTGCATGRGCGCTGGAGCCACACGAATGGTGCAGGAACGTGGGCAGATGGGGCCTTGCTTGAGATTTTGGCTCTCTGGCAAAGCAGGTCCAGGTCTGCCGTAATTTATTTAATCAAAAAGCGTGRTTGCAATCAAGGACACAGCCCTTGCACAGGCCACAGCCGACAGGGACACGAACAAGGAAGGAAAAGGAGAGAGGAAGAAAACACGGGCGCGGGTTGAGGCTGGAAAACCATCGGGAGAAGTGCCCCAGCCACACTGCAAAAGCTGCCGCAAAACCACTACTTCCCGGCTGAATTTACCCGGGATATTAGGCTGCATTTGCCTGGTTATTGGGGGAGCATCCGGAGCGGGTATCTGGACCAGGATCCCGTGTGGGCAGCACGTGGGGTGCAGGAAAGGAGCCCCAAGCACCGCCACCGAGCTCAGGTGTGAACTGGGAATGGGAACGGGCTGCGCTGGAATAGTTTGGGGATGATTTCACTGCCATTATGGCCCAGGCTGGGGCTGTTTCCACGCAGCCTCTTCTGATTTTATGACTTAATCTCCRCACAGCTCCGGGCCTGATGGGCTCTTCCCAGCAAGAGCAGCCAGGGGCTCTTAGCAGGTCGTTACTGCCCAAATGTGCAGGAGGAATTTGACAGGTATATTTAAAAGCTGACAGCCTGGGGCTGCGCACAGGGCTCCAGGAGGATGGGAGGGACATGGGGGACTTCCTTGGCTTCCAGGGTTGGTGGCATCAGCGCTGTGCCCTGCAGCGGGGCATGCAGCTGCATGTGTACATCCGTGCACATGCATTTGTGCATGCATCCGTTTGTACCTTGCTCTGCAGCTCTGTGTGGGTCTGTGCACGGCTGCATTGCTGCACGCTGCATGCCACTGTGTGTGCACGTGCATGGTTGCATATCGGAGGGATGTGTGCATTGCACACGTGCAGGGGGGCATTTGAATCTGCTTGCGCTTGTGGGCACGTGCGTGCGCATCCATGTGTGCATCCATTCACCTCCATCCCTCGGCGAGCGCATCCATCTGCATCCGGATCCATGTGCACGGACACCCCTGTGCGTATCCRTGTGCAGCTGTGCGTGTTATCCATGCACCTCCCCGTGCGTGTGCGTGCACGTGCACACGTGCAACACCGTCCCCGTGCACACGCGCCCGCGCGCGGCTCCCGAGCGCGTGTGTGTTCTGCAGGAGGCTCCCCGGCCAGGTTTATAGATGTTCTGCTTTTTTATGGCACTACAGAGCGCTCGATGACATCACCCAAATATTAAAACAGCATGTGCCAGGCGGCCGGGCTGGGGACGGGGAGAATTCCCAGGTGGACCGGGAAGGGGAGCGGGAGACTGCGGTACCCGGCCGAGCATCCGCACGCGCTCCCCGTGCTCCCGCCGTGCTGCATGGCCAGGGTGACCTTCTCCTCCTCTTCCTCCCTGCCTTGGTGGCCACGCGCTTGCGAGGCTGCTGCTCGGGAGGTTTCTTGGGGACCTTTGCATTTCCACCGGAAAAACAAAAAAAATAGCGGTGATTTTTGCAAACCAAACCTGTTTGTGGGAAATGGTTCCCAAACATTTCCTGACTGTTGGAAAAAAAAAAAAAAAAAGCGCTGGGAAAAAGAAAAAGTTTCCAGGTTTTTCAGCTCCAGGCCATGGGCTGTGTGACTTGCGTTATGTTTTTAAAGGCTGGATGAAGGGAACAGGTCAAGCTCCAGAGGAAGGTGCCTGGAGAAGCTCCGCTCTGCCCCCAGCCCACAGGCCAAGCCGCCTCGGCTCGCGTCTTCCCAAACTTTCCCAAACTCCCTGCTTTGCAGCCCGGTTTGGGAAGGGAAGCGCAGGAAAATCTCGCCGCTGCTCAGAGCACAGGAAAGCCGTGGTTTCCTCCGGCGCAGGACACCCAGCGAGCGCCAAGCCGCCCGTGTCCTTGCCCTGTTGGCCGCTTTGCCCGTTAATGCCCCACGTTGGAGGCCAGGGAAGAGGGAGGAAGAGTGTGGCTGGGAGGGCGATGAAGGCCCTGGCTGTGGGAAGGTTGCAGCTCAGTTTTCATCCCCCAAAGCTTGTGGTTATGATGAACGGAGACCTCCCTGCTTCTCGGCTCTGCTCGGGAACGGTTTCCAGAGCAGTTGAGTGTCTGCAGGCCCCATCGGCGTCAGCACAACCCACCCCAACCTTCCAGTTTAACCCCACTAACCCAGCCTAACCTCCTCCTCGCCCAGCCTAACCCACGTGAGCTGAATCCCCTCTTAACCCAACCTAATCTCCTCATAACCCAAAACTAACTTGCCCCAAGACAACCCAATGAACCTAACTTCTTCCTGACCGTGCTTCTAGCCCATCCTATCCTCCACCAAAATCAACTCATTTCTCCCTAACCTGCTTCTTATCCAGTTTAGCCATCCTGACCTAAACCAACCCAAATTCACTCTAATCCAGCCCAACTTCCCCTTAATCTGACTCGTCCTTTCTCCAACCCGACATAACCAACTTGACCTTGCCCTAACTCAATCCAGATTTCCCCTAATCTGCCTCTGATTCAATCCAACTTCCTCCAAATCCAACTGAATTCCTCCTAAGCCAACACAACCAACCCAACCTCCCCCTAACCCAACCTGACCACACCGTAACCTGTCCCTAACCCAACCCTTAGCTCCCTTTAACCCAACCCAACCTCCCTCTAACTCAACTTAACCAAGCTGACCTCCCCTTAACCCACCCCAGCCTCCCCCTAACCCAACCCAACCAACCCAACCTGCCCATAACCCAACCTCGCGCTCCGAGCAGGTCTCCTCCCGCGTGGTTGAGCTCACGTCTCGTGGGCCGTGGGGAGATGCTGGTGGAA